TGATTTATAAATTTTATGCAAAATTCTTTAAAGCAATAGAGTACAATAGCGCAAGAATAGCTTTAATAGAAAGTAATTGTCTTTCAGTTGAAAATGGAAACTTTTTAGGATTTTTTTTTTTTTTTTTGGATAGATTTAACTGGCTTTGCGCGAATCTTAGGCGCATCGTAGCTTTCTCATTTTTCGCGATAGCGAGGAAAATATATTTGATCGTTTATCGTATGCTGCTCACCGGAAATTACATTCCGCGAAATGGTTAAAAACCCCTCGAAAAACTTTCCTACCTAAAAATATACAAAGTTCTGATTAGTTCTTCGTCATCCATTACTCAGTGATTTCGTTGCTTTCATTTGTTCGTAAGTTTATTGTTGTCTTCGTCGGCCCAAGTTCCAAAATCAAACTTGTCCGATTGACGTTAAGTAAAGCCAATTGTTTTTCTTCTTCTTTTCTTTTTAAATTTTCTTTGAAAATTTTTTCGTTGCAGAAATAAGGTTTTCTCGCAACTTTGATTGTTTTGCAAACCTGATGACGATAATATATAGAGGCATCACAAATTTGCATATAATTATTTTTTGTCTTGAATTTTTTTTTTTTTTTTGTTCGTCTAGCACAAAAATAAATCATTTTTAGAAATTTCTCAATATGTTAATATCGTTAAAACTTTTGCAATTTATTTTGTTAGTGGAAGCGTGCACGTCAAAAGCAGAAAAATGATATTTCACTAAGAGCAAACACTTGGTAGCCAGCACCTTAAGGCGACACACGTAAACAAATTGCAAAGGAATTTATTGCTAACCATTATTTTCGTTCTAAGTTCGTCCAACTTTTATGCCCACTTTTGTCGGAAATAACGAAACAAAGACGAGTTTACTTTAGCTTTCAAGAACGAAAATCAGAATAGGTGCAATGCTATCCTATCCTATCCTATCCTATGTAAATGATAAAGTATTAAGCCGCCATATAGCCAAGTAGTTGAAAACCTCGACTATCAAGACGACATACCCGGATTCAATTCCCAGTCCCTAGGTCCACTTTAGCACGTTTGCTTTTTTACAAATTTAATCTAATACTTCGGCTTGAATGGAAGAAGGGGTTTAGTCCTGTTTCGAAACTTTTTGCAAATCATCAATCTTCCAAAAAAAGCAACTATAAAGCTACAAAATGTTTATGTATTATATTTATAAAAACAAGAATAATGAGCTTTCAGTAGAGAAAATTACTATTCTCTGACGTTGGTAAAAAAAAAAGGAAAAAAATTATTCGTTGCACTGAATAATTTCCTTAAAGTTATGCGTTTTGCTTTCACATTGGCCGCATTCTCACTGCACCCACCAACTTTTTGTTGTTCTTTTCTTATTCATCGTCATTTACACACACACGTAGCATATGTAAATTTAACTTTTCTAATTTTAACACACATCCGTTTCGCTCGATCCGATTAACGAGAAGAGTATGGAAATATTAAATGCAAAATTCTCTCACAAGCACATAAACTCCTCACAATTTAATGCATAATCTCAGGTAAAAGCATTTACTTTTATTAGACAATGTCTTTGTAAGAACTCGCTCTGACTAAGTGCATATAGAGCGAATTCCACAAAATCAAAACCTGGTACAGCTCTCAATTTTCGGTATTAGCATGATAGGATGGAAAGTAGTTGGATCACCCACACTACTGCACCCATAACGTTAGGCTTCAAAACCCATTGATTAGGAATTGCAGTCGAACCCTGGATACTTTTGATTGATATGAGAAAGTCTCCTCGGCTCCACAGTGCATATGTAAATGTAAACCTTTGCAATTGCACGAACCGTATAATTTGAAATATGAGCTCAGAATTTAATTGAGCAACCAAAGATTGAATTTAAAATTGCAAGTGTATGTCGCGCCGCTTACATCTATCGCGAATAAAAAAATAAAAATCTATTAATTAATATCGTCTAAAAACTTGAGTTCTTTTGTACAAGAATGATATGAAATCCTTAATAACCATAAAGATGAATATTGCACTCGAAAGAGGAGTAAAATAAGATGTCCATAGCACGAATTGAAAACGCATTTCTCTAGAGACGATAACGGGCCATCATGTGGTGGCCTTTGTTCAATTCACTTTGTCATTGCAGTTTTTTTTTTTCATGGCTGTCCTGAATGAAAAAACTGCAAGTACAGGTGTAGCAAAAAAATTGCTCGTTGAGCTTATAGGTGCCTATCGGTTACAAAATTGCAATATTCATGTTGTATTGTTTCAAAGTATTTATTTTTTCATTCTCTGTTGAAATTGAAAATTCAATTTGTTAAAATGTTTTCTTCAGCTTTTTAGTTTAAATAAAAACAGTGTTGCCCAAAAAAATAAATAATAACAAATTTAATCTCTTATGATTTGTTTATGCAAATTTATATTAAAAGTTAACAAAGAAGTTTTTATTATACCATAATAAAGTTACTTTACAACAACAACAACAAGGGTGTGCGAAATTTTCAAATGATATCAGCTTGCGTGTTCACTTGCGTGTTGCGTAGAACCTTCATAACCATAATCGCATTAAATGTTTAGTTACTCTCACTAGTGCATTTAACTATAAAATTTAAATATATAGTAAATCCTGGAGACTGTTATCATTTTGATTTTTTTCTTTTTTTTTTTTTTTTTTTCAACTACAAGAGGTTAAAACACAAAATTGAAGAAGAATCTCTCTCTGTAAGGATAAGGTTTCCTTTAACTAACTAACTAACTAACTAAACTTTAACCAACTTGTTATGGCTGATAAATTAGAAATGGTTTCGCTGCCTTTCTATTGTATCCTTGGCTGATAGTATGCACAAAATAAAGAGTTTATCACAATAATAGTAAAGAGTTTTTTATATCCCAGTTGTGTTGTTCACTGCTTTGTGAATGCGTTGAGTTATCATTGATTCAGAGGTTCTTTCTTCGTCTTAAGTCTATGTATTCTTTTACTTTACTTTTCTTATACGATGTGCGTAGACTTGGAGAGCAACTGAAGAACTTAATTTAATTAATATGCGTTGTCTCAATACTTTGTCATCTCTAGTAAGTGTGCGTTTTATTCAGCCTAATAATGCTACTCACGCTACGATTGTTCCACCAATTACTGAGGCATGGATTCATAATAGAAATTCTTTGCTGAGCGACTCTATAGCGACTCTCTAATAATAATATTTTGAGACCAATTCCTCCGACTAAGTGCTTGAGAAGAGCTGGACAACTCAGTCCTACTGGAATTGTCTGCATTCCCTACAACGTAGTGCAACGCGTCTCATGTTTTTTTAATCACATTGTTCGCCATTGCAATAGTCTACGAGCAGTGGTCCTTCTCACCGTGCCTAAAGATTCCACTTTTACAGCTTTTTTTTTTTTCTATCCCTCTCTACCTATGACTTTTCTTGGCGACCATCCTGCTCCACTTTATAGGGAATATCCCCGAAATAAACTAATAGTAAAAGCCGAAGACCAGTAGCATATTAATTTTGCTCGAACTGAAAAACTAAATTATATAACACATATTTTGCGTCATCTAAGAGTTTGAACAGTTTCGAAAAGGAATGAAATTTTTTGCACATGAAAATCTTCGCAAACACAGCATGCGCTTGTACATATATACATAGTCGCATAAAGTTAACCCTGGGGAGAAGTTCCTTTCGATCTTCGTCGTAGTTAATTAAAAAAAAAAAATAATTTTGAAAATTAAAATTGTCTCTAAATAATTTATTACTCATGTGCATTGTATTTCAAGTAGATTCGTGTCATATTACCTTGGAGTGCAATAAAAAAAATGCAAATAAGAGCCGCTTCCTCCTTCCACTTTCAAAATATTGAGCTGAACATCTCTGCATATGAGTTCGTAGTAATACATAGTAAATAGGAAGGCTTCACCCATGAAAGCCATGAAAACCTATTCATAGCAGGATTCGTATTCAGGAGTCTTGTAATAATTTCCCAATTTCCATAAGAACTTTTCAACATAAAATACACAATTCCATCAATTCGAAAACGAATGGAAGTTGTGCGTTTGCTTTTATTTATTTTAAAAATCAATTTGTGTATATTTTTTACTTTGAATGCATCGTATAAACAGTGCATTGTTATTAAATTTATATTGCGTTAACGCAACATCATCTCTTAACTGAAGTGGTCGAAGCAGTGCTGCTTACATTGCTATTGTTGTTGTTATTCCATTCTCACTTACATTTGCCATTGGGCTTTGCAAAATGAATTAAATTTTTTATGGACCAAAATTTTATTTGTTTTTCTTCTAATTCCGCACAGTGCCAGCGCCATTCATTCCCTTATTGTAATAAAACTTCAACTATCATATTATCTGTCCATAAGAAGATAAGAATTGGTCACCAAATGCATAGCATGTGACATCAACATGAACGTGTATGGTGAAGAATACAATTCCAAAGAAGGAAGGCTTAAAAGAAATCCTCAACACATCGTTGGCAGCAATAATGTGTTGAACACCTTTTGTCATCAAGAGAAAGCAATCGAAATGATGAGGTGAAAAACAAGTAAGTGAAGCGAACATTTGCGATTACTCGAGGACTTATGCTCAACAAAAGTGACGTCTTAATTGGGAATTAAAGACGTCCAAGAAAAAACTTGAAGGCATTCTTAACACGACAGATTTTAAGAAACTCGAGGAGAGCAAGCAAGAGCAAGCCGATCGCCTGGGAAGACAAGAAAGCGAAAAAAGTCTCATTACATTCATGTCATGCCGACATTTTACTTTGCAGGTAATTTCTTTATCAATTTTTTTGGAGTAGAACTATTTATGTATATATATATATATGTATTTAACGTCAAGCAAATATAACGAGCAGAACATATCAGGCATACTTTAGCTTACAGTCTGCGATAAGTTGATTTTGCTGCCGGTTGCGTACAGGTGTGGACAAATGTTGTTGTTTTGTCCGGCTTTCCGAGCAAATTTGCTAATCTCTATTTCAAAAAAAATTGGAGAAATAAATCAGTACTCACTTTCGCTATTGATGAAATACTGCATGCACGCAGTTCTGGATAACGTAACTTGTGACCGAGATTCCTAATCCGGCTTGCCTCTCAAACTGATTCTTCCTTTCTTGTGAGCTTTATTTAAGCCTTTTAACGGCAACTTTTGGAAGATTGCATGGTAGGCAAGCGTATATTCCTCTTCTTTATATTAGATCGGTTCACCCCCCGCTATATAATTTTTATCAATATCCAATAGGGAGTCTGTTGTACACTGGAAGTCTTTTAATTTATTCGCCTTAGGGCAAACAGTTCGCTTTTCGAAACTTGCACTGATACACCGCCAAATCTAAGAATTGATTTTTTTTTTTTTTTATATTAACACACACACACACACACACACACATTATCACAGTTAATTATCAGCGGAATTAAATTTCAAATTTGAACCACACTCACAACGAAAGCAATATCTTTTATGTAGCACTCTCAAGTCAGTGCTCATCACGTTCTCAAGCACATACGACATTCATTATTTAGTTTCATGATTTTCACTTTTGTTTTTCTCGACCTTTCACTTATTTATCTAAAGCGATCGATGCGTTATTGCGACAACAGTGCTGTTAGATAGTAAAGATTCATTGATGGACGATAGAAATCAGCAAAATTGTTTTTAATTCATTTCACGAATCATTTCGCAAGTATTTCTCTACTTGATTTTGAAACACGACTGCAAACGAAGTGCGAGTTAATAATAATTTTAGCTTCACATTTATGACAAACGAAAATCCTTAACAGAGAGCCTAAGGTTTATAGCCCTTGTGTGCGTTGTCCGTCCGTCCCGTTGTCGCAAAAGTTTACACAGTTCGGTTACCATAAAAAAAAAAAAAAAAGAAGGCCGAAGAGTTTTCATTCCATTATATTTACAGTTGTTTGATTCTTTATAAAATCGTCGCGATTTTTAGCTAAACGATAATTAAATGTACGAGAATTATTGTTTCTCTTCTTTGTAATGAGTTGATTTGAAGGATTGTTGTTCTGACTATTTTTTTACACAATTTTATTAATAAGAATGCAATAATTTGTGTGTGCTTAAGGTTTAAACTAAAATTTAGAAATTTATTTCTTTCATTTTTTTTTGCTTCTTCTTACTTATGTTGTATTGTATTTTAATTTTTCTTATCGCACAAACAACCGCCAAATGTTGCTTATCAGCGCGTATCCACATATAAACTGGATTAATATTCACACATCGTTCGGTGAAGATTCTTTTGTTTCCTTTTTTTTTTTTCTTCTCAACCATTGAAAGCTTATTCGTTTTCAGGCATTTGTTAACGAAATCAGCTGTCCCTTAGAGCTTTCTTATCACTAACTGAGAGCGTATACCTGATGATTGCATGGTAATGAGAAAGATAATAGAAGAGCTTTTTGCATATGGAAAACAAAAAAAAAGCCGCGCACACAGTGGTCAATTGCAGATGAAATTAACATAAAAAAAAAAAAAAGAAAATATTATCGAACATCAAAGAGAGAGAATTTTAGAGGAGCAGTGTATATTAAAAAGAGGCCTCAGGTTTTCATTATTTACTATGAAATGCAAACATTGCCCAGATGAAACCTCGCCACCATAGCAAACACATGCTGCCACATTAAGTGGCTGAAAAGAACAATTACATTCATCATGCGGTAGTCTAAAGTTGAGTGAGAGAAAGAAGCACTGAAAGGATAGATTGAAGTGAAGTAGTCAGCTTGTTCCGAATTATGTAATAGTGCCGCCAGTAGTAGTTTTGTTCCACTTGTATCAGAACGTTTTCTGTAAATAGCAAGAATGTCCAAATTATCAAAATTTTGAAAAGGAGAGCACATCTTGAATAGCGGATTCAATAATACATTTCACCCATACTTTGTCCATAAATGAATTAAATTACTTTCGAATTTTCACACGTAAGTCACATTGTGTTCGAACTGCAGAAGGAATCGTTGCAAACATAGACCACCTGTCAATTGAGACTCAGCCTGAACATTTACGCTTTAAGCGAAACACTGAGAGTGTCCTAATAGGTTGCGGAATATTTGATTTATCGGATATCGATGCGATAAAGCTTGACATCGACACTTGGCGAAACCTTTGTCCGTGTAAAAGCAGTTTCAACCGATTTAATGTGCGAACAGCCTTCTCAATTAAGAGACTCACGTTCGAGACACGTAAGATTCGGTTGAGGGGGAAATGCATTCATTTTACGAGTTTCGTTTTTTTCCTTCTTCTTTATATTAAAATTTGAATTTGCTTCTTTTTTTTTTTTTTGTTTTAAATTAAATAAATAGGGATTAAACAACCTTAAATAAATTAACTAATTGCGAAGCGTAGCTTATGGCCAATTTAGGCCCAAATACTGTCACTATCGAGTGGAAGAAATGCACAAATTTCTCTCGTTCAAAATTGTAAATGAAACGTTTCAATCTTCTCATCAGCTATTTCAAGTCCTTGCCTACGCCATCCAACATGTTATAGCCTTTATACGCTCTGCTCATCGACCAATCCTTCGAGTAGCTTTGGCTACCAATTTCGTAAGGGGTTCCACCAGAAGACGGGCTATAATGAGCACTGCTACCCACAAATTGAGAATATTCTGCGTATTCGAAGCGGATGATTAGTAATCAAAATTTCAAAGGCATATAAACTTTTTTTTAGATTTTGCGTTAACGAAATAGATAAGTGAATTTTACTCACCAGTTGGATCACCATCGTATGTATGTAGATGATGTTGTACAAATTTCGGATGAATCTTGCATAACGTTTTATGCTTCAGATAGTGTATAAGCCAACCCACGCCGCCTATTATTACCGCGTTCAAGCCAAGAACGCCCACTAATAAGCCGACCACTGTCATTTTCAGATACGCAATCTTCATTAGTATTATCAACGGCAATATCACTAGCCATTTATGTTTCTTTTTCTCGTGACGACCACGCCCTTTAACATTATACACGATTACATTATAGCGACTTAAATGAATGCTTAGTTTATTGATTACCTTCTTCACTGAGCCCCGTGTCAGTTATGCGTAGACCACTGTCACTGGAAAGTGCAAATTGAAAGCCATGTCTTTGTCCAAACATCTCTGCTGCCCGCTTTATAAATTTTATTAAACCAAGCAATTCGCTATCGTCTATAAGACACGGCAGGGCGGAATGAAAAGAAATATACTTTTAGGCAAATTGGATTTATTTTACTGCGAGATTAAATCTAATTATGCTACACACGCAGAGTTCATTAATACAATGATTTACTAGAGATAATAAGTGAGTTTGCTTTGAATCCGTCCCGATTCGTACGTGTATATGTAGTGTATGCAATACATACATTTGCTACAACCCACATTGAAACTTAACAAATATCATTTCAGTCCTATGAATATGCGAGGTGACCTCCTATGAATAAAAAGGTGACCCTTCATTTCTCTCGACAAATATTTATCTTTCATTATTATTTATTCGTCAACATTTGTATTGTCGCCTTCAACGTAACTTCCCTTAGATATAATACACTTGTGCCAGCGCTTTTCTCAACTCTCGTTATGGCCGTGAGCTCGTTCAACGCTGAGGTCTCTATCTCCTTAATCTTGGCAAAACTCTGTCTTTGCTATTTTGGGAACAAGAAAAACTCAAGGCGGACTAAGCTCGGCGATTAAGACATGATTACGGTGTTGTTTTTCGACAAAAAATTACGGACAAGCAATGACAAAAAATTTACAATTTCCGGAAAAACTTCGCTGTTACACGTTTCATGCCCAAGCGATCAGCTCGAGCCGATCGATATGTCAACATCCTCAGCAACTTCTCTAGTAGTGATTCGACGATTCTCAGTAATAATTTTCTGAACAGCTTCAACGTTGCCATCGTTACTTGACGTGCTGCTAGGGCGCAAAGGGCGGGCGTCGCCATTAACATCCTCTCGGCCTTCTATAAAGAGCTTGCACCACTTGTAAACACTTTTTTTTTTGCTCAAAGTGGTAGTGGTAGCAGTAGAAGCTTCTCCAAATCCGGCGATGCAATCAACATTTAAAGTGAGTCGCAGCACTTCATGTTACTTTGCACACAAAACTTTGTACATATTCTTTGATTCACTTTAACCTTTACAGCCCACGAAATTTGAAGTCACTTCTTTCTGTTGTGAACACACCTCCCATGCTTTGCTCAATAATAACTTTTTCATTGGCTTGTTTTGCATAAAATTTATGGAAATGTTTGCTGACATCAAATAGTCAGTGGAAACAGCAATGAACCTTTTCTGCCGATCAGAATTATATGAATTTGTTATCTTGTGAACCTTCCAACGACAACCTGTGTACCGTTTCTTACAACAATTGAACGAACGGACCGAAGGAAAGGCTGACAAGCGAACGCCACGCGGGGAACGGACCCCGTCAACCGACAGAAAGGCGAACACCAGAAAAGACAGACAAACGCACGGTGTGCTGAAGCCAGGCCAAGAGCCAAGCGTATAGTTAAAAAAAGGGTTGTAAGGATAGAGTGACAAATACACATAATTCCTTGTTTCCACTTTAAAACACGAATGATTATCTTCTCTCGTTAATTGAAATCGAAAGTTAGTTCCTTTTATTTGACTTTACATGTATGCCTGAAGATGCAGTGTAGATGATTGTGAAGTGTACAAATTGTATCAGCTTCCATCTGCTGGTTCCGTTACTTCATTGTGAAGCATGTGAAGCTCTTATGTGCAACAGCGTGTATTAGAGTTAAGGGTTTTGAGTAATGGTTTCAATTTAATAAAATGCGAAAATAGTTACGAAACACTATCAGGGATCAGTTCACTTTTTGCCTGAGCGCAGCTCTTTAGTTTTTCTAAATCAATCCTTTCGATTGATAAGCTTTCAGCTTAAGGGACTACAAGCAAAGGGATTAAAACACAATAACAGTAGCAACAGCTCACTGCTTTGCTTACTATATATGTATGTATATATATATCCTTTCATCCTCTACACATATATAGGTATGTGGAAAGGCAACTAAAAGGAGCAGAGCCAAACGTTTGCAAAGTTGATAGCACCTAATGCATTATAAAAGTTGTGGTCGCGCTATACGCTTGCACTGTAGCCGCACAACTTGTCGTTCTCATAAAACATTTTCACTTCACTTAGGACAATGTCCTAAGCCAAATGTGGCTTTCTCACTCGTTATATCAATTAACAATTTGTAAATACATTCTCCTGTCCGAGGTAATTGCTCAACAGAACAATGAATACTTTTTCCTAGAATTTCTCGTTCATTCATTGAATCGATTCGCAACCAAAAAAAAAAAAAAAAAAAAAAAAAAGCACATCCATGCAGATACCTTGTTGGCTGCGTGCATTTGAAAAGGCTGCGATATCCGATGGCTCGTCCAATTGTATGAAACGTATGCGACGTTTGTCTTCACGCAATTCCCGCCCGTGCTCATGGGGGAAAAAGGCGAAGCCATTTACCGCGAATTTCCAAACAATTTTCGTTGCTTTGTATTTAATGCAGGACAACAAGTTACGAGTGTCGCGACATTGCCGCAACTGGCGACCAACATATTCATCACTGTGGACAGGCGATACACGTCCGCTCGCGGACACAAAATCGCTAGAATTGCGGTAATTATTATCGAATTGTTCCACAGACGTTGTCAAGCAAAAATGTAACGAAATGAGAAGAATAAGATTTTTTAAATCACATAAAATCGTAGACATATCTTAAGCGATTATTTTCAATTAAAAATAACTTAATGTATTTATGAAAATCGAAAATAATGTTTCACGCGAATGCAAATCGAAAACTGAGCAGCGTACACTAAAGTGACCGTTAGGAAGCGAAACAGACAAATGGCAAACAAAGATTTCAAGCAACGACTTTTATGAGAGGACTTAAACAAATGCAGCACACAATCAAGTCGACAGTTGATACAAATCATTTCATTGTATGCAGCAGTTTATTGAGTCAGTCAGTCAGTCAGTCAGTCATTCGGTCAGCCAGCCAGCCAGCCAGCGATCGCACATAGTGGAGCCTGTAATAAAGTATAACGTGACTTACTATGTGCCAGTTAGTTAGAGTCTACACGATGTGTTTAAGTGTTACAAACTAATTCTCTAACTGTTACCGTTTTTACTTTCTTTGCTTTTCTAATCTAAATGAGTTTTTGCTTTACCTTACACTACTACTACTACTACTACTACTACGACTCCATATAACAATCAATCGTTGCCTTATCTTTTACTTTTCGCGAACAGCTTATGATGTTTGAGAACATCATCATCACTGCTAGGACATGGGATAGAACCTTTTTACATCATATGCAGCATATGTGCGATGAACATAAAATGCTCTTTAAAAATGATTGTTATTAAAAATTTAATGTGAAGCACTTTTCATCCACTATTTGGCTTAAAAAAGTGAATGCTATATGATTAATTGATCATGTGAAGTTCATCAAACACAAGCACACAAGTACCTGCTTGTTTGCAAGCAAGCAATTTACGATAATGTTGCACAAATGCTTACAGATATCGTTTACATTGTACCGCAAGTAGTGTATGTGTGTATGTGTGTGTATGTGGATGTGAATGATTATCTTTTTCTAGTTTCTCAAGCACTTAAATGATAAAGAGGCGAAATTAATATTAAAATTACCTAAATTTATATAAACACACACACACACACACGCACGCATACATGCCTACTTACATGCGCACTTAATTAATTTGTAGCCTCATAAAACAAACAACAATCAACATGTTAGACGTTTCCCTTTTCCTTTACACACTTTCTCATGCAATTGTAACAACTTTGTCAAGCAAAAGTCAAACTCAATTGCATAAACAACTTATGACGGCTATAAAATACTTGTCCATAGAAACATCTGCTAAACGGACGATGGATCTCAATACACGCGCTCAGGGTCGCGTTATTTCAAGCAAATAACTATCTAATAATCCCACATATTTTTACTCCTTATGCATACGTATGTACATCACAATAAGACTACTGTCGTATCTTACGTTCTTCTTCTTCTTCTTCTTTTGCAACTAACCTAATTCTATTCAGAGATATCTTCAGGGATCACAGCGATCGATGCCATAAAAATTGCTCTTCAGTTTCTGAGAGGCCGTTGAAAGTGAAATGAAATGACGACTCACTGATGTTTTAGTCATACTTGTAACCTCACCTTGTTCGACCTTGTTGTATTTGCTTGGATCTCGTTCGCGCACCCTCTTATCCCCATATCCCATATTCCTTCGATGCCTCGAATTTGTACTTTTCGCCACCTTTTATAGATAAAGTCGTGATTGCTTCTTGTGCCGACGAGCAAAAGTGTGCCCAACACTACTCAATTCCTCAAAAGTCAATTTCACTTTTTCAAATACTAAAACCAACAACCAACAAAGTACAGAATGTTTATCGCATATGGAATTGAATCGAAAGCGTCCGTATGACTGCGTTCTGCTCCTTAGGGCAAACTTGAAAGTGAAGTAACTTTCACAATTGCTTGGAAAGTGTCGCAGGCAGACCGTAAACCTTTCATTTCATTATAATAATAACTTTGTTACATAAGAAAGTTTATTATTGTTTTCTAGAAAAGTGCCCGATTTTCTTAGAAAGCATCGATTTTCCTCATAGTCATGTTCGATTGTAAACGAGTCATTGCATTAATTAACGAACAAAAAAAGAAAAGACAAAAAAAAAAAAAATCGCAATAGCAATAAAAACATATATGCCGCACAAGAAACAAACTTTTTTACATATTTAGTCCGGATTCGATGAAAAGTAGATAGCCATCGAAAGACTCACGCACAATTGCACTCTATGCACTCACAATTGATTGCAAGATTGGTCGAGAGGACAACAAAAAGAGATCATTGCCGCTTCGACACACGAAGAACACGAAGGTAGCAAGGAATGTGAGGAAAACCAGAGGAGGGAAGATTTTTACAAAATGAAATGACGACAAGAAGTCCGTGTTTTCCGTTGGTTATTGTCTTCATTAATTCAGTAGGTGATCATCTGGTGGGAGACTGGCAGCCAAGAAAGGCAAAGCCTCGCAAATAGCAAAGAGAAATGCAATAACATATGAGTAACGTCCTCCTAGCCCTTTCAGTCCAACTTGCAAAGGACGAAAGAGAGAGCAGTGAAAGACAGATACAGAAGCCCGCACTCCACGCACGAACCCAGAAACCAAAACCATAGATAGAGAAACTATCAGATTTCAACGCAAGGAAAGCAAGAATGTGTGTGCAAAACGGAATCTCAAGCGAATTTTCGTAGAGTATCATCTAGCAGTGCTGTGAATTAATTCAATAAAATCCTAGTCAGGTTGAAAAGCAATCCGATCACTTCTGTTGCGATTCTTCTTAGCGAGACATTTATTGTTTATATGTCTGTCATTGAAAGACTTTACTTGATTTATCGGCTCTTATACCTGTATCAATACACATGGCATTAAGAAACCCATTCGAAACCCGGAGCGTCTTGGATGCAAAATACGTTTCACCTCAACATATGGCAGTAAGTGTGCGAACATTTCCCATAGGTAAAAGTAAGCCTTTAATAATAATATCGTTTAGTAGAAAAGAATATTCAAGTCTGCATTGCCCTTATTATCGGTGCAGCATTGCCACGACTTTCCCGAAAATTGTCTTGTGGCTGGACAGGCTAGCATTCACCCGAGATTATTAATTCGATTATTTCGCTGATGGATAAGCAGAGTGGAAGAACAAATTTAGCATAGTCTTACCGAATGTTCGCAGAAAGCTCTCACTCACTCTCTATCCGTCTTGTTTTATTAAGAGATTTCTTTCTAATCGTAATAAGCAGAAGAGAAGATATACAAACTAAAGTACACCTTATGTAAAGCATACGTACGTCGTAGAGTGCAAATTGAACATATCGACCTTGTACATGCACACTTACTTGGCATAATATCCCAAGTCAATTGGGTCATATCCGTGGACCGAACTATTAAAAGACTATTTCCTGTTGCACCTCTCTTTCCCCTTTTCTCTCTCTCTCTCTCTCTCTTAATGCCAATAACAATAAATAGGATAACAAGGATTCTTTCCTTGTTTTATATAAATTTTAGTTTTCTTTCAAATCAAGTGCAACTTAAAATATGCGTAAGCTGGTCCCTCTTTTTCTCTCTCTCTCTCTCTCTCTCTCTCTCTTTCGCTTTTTCTTATTGCTGCGCGTCGCATCAATTATAGATTAAAAATTTTGATAGCATTCTTGGAAAACAAATTTCTTTTAAATACGTTGTTCAGTTTCGTGCTAAAGATTCTTTGAATAAACAATTTATAGCTTAGAAGTGATTAAGCCGTCAACGTAGCAAAGCGAGAGAATTTTTTAATTTTTAAAACACCATGTTGTTCTGTAAACTTTTCGTTCTAACAATTTTAACATTCGCTTCTGGACTTGAGGCTGCAGTCGATGTAAGTTTGTCAGGTGCATTTTTATTTCGTTATTGATTATATGTTGTTCTGCCTTTGCTTACGTCTCTCCGGTCTAGCGGTCGGGCGACGTTACAGAAATTGAGAATTTCAATGAAGTTACAAAAGTATTGGAGAACTCGCTAAGCAAATTAGCCGCCGGTGAAGGTCCTAAATACAAGTATGTCGTCCAAATGGCTTTTGTTTTCACGCCAACTTTCAAATATTGCTTTTAGATTAGGTAAGCTACACTCGGCCATGGAAGGGCGAGGAGTGTATGGCAAAGCCTACTATATCGATGCTGATCTTATCGATGAAAGCGGTAAAACGAAAATTTGTTCGCTCAGCACATGGAGTACATACGACAGCAACGAAATCAAAATTACTTTTAGATGCGACGGCGAACAGAAGTTGGTTAGGAAGCATGGCCTTTAAAACATATAACAAAATATATGTGCTACATATACGTTACATGCATATATAGACATATATTTATATATATTTTTAAGATAATGTCACCATAATCTGATATGATATGATATGATTGGCATGAAAATTGTTTTATATACCATTTATATGTAATTTGTCGATATGGTAACAATAGTTAAGTGGAAGCATCTTTCACCACAGCCACCCTAAGTTCATAGATTTCTGATTGTTTCTCTTCGGCAATTACGTTGCGAAATTTGTCACCGCATCTTTTAACAAATCGTTAACGACTTCCTTACGTTCATCAATTTAGATTCGTTGTAAAGACACTAATCCTTAACTTGAATGTATTCTCCATTGCTTATAAGATACATTGCTGCAACAATGGGAGGAATGCATTCAATCGGTGCACCCTATATCTGCAAAATGTGGAGATACTTGGATAAGTAGGATCAACTCCTAAACAATAAAATCACTAAAGAGTTCTTCTGTGTTTTCATCGCCTACCAGCGACTACTGCTCGTGCAGCTTCTGTTGATCCACCCGAAGTTTTCAAAGACAGTTTGTCACCAATTTTCCAAAACTTTCTACTTTGGAATACTTTCTTCTCTTCGTTTTTTTAAACCTATTTTTGTAACATGCTGGTAGCGCCCGCCCACCAATGCTGGCAATTGTGCAGAAGATCACTCTGTTGTGCTATGTTTCCCCTCTGGACTAAAATGTTCTCAATTTACATAGTGTAGATATCAGGTTGTTTTAGAGTAATGCAAAGTAATTGGATGCAACTTTGTTTCGCAGAAAAAAGGGTTTAAAAACGCCTTTGATTCGTTGACAAGCAGCGCAAAAATACTAGAACACAGGCACATTGATCCAAGGCAAGTAAAAGCAAGCTTCGATTTCGGGGTTCGCTTTCTTTGCATTGCTAATGCTTTGTCTGACGATCGCGTCTGATCGATCGATAATGCCGTTGCACTCGGCGAACATAGCTATACGGATTCTGTCGTTGACATAGAATTGATTGATTTTCTAATTTTTTTTTTTTTTTTTTTTTTTTTGCGTTCTGAAGCGTTCAAGCGAACAAGCGTCCCTTCGATTGTCGTAGTGTACGTACGTCTTAGATTGACTACAAAATGCGCTTAGTTTTCTTGTTCGCTTCGATTCAGTGAATGCAGCATAATCAAGAAAATTGCAAGCGATAAGAGCTGATCTAGATTTGATTCGTCGAATTCGATTCGTCGACATTGAGAGGCATGGTGTAAAACGTTTTGCAGAATTTGTATTTAAAAACGAGTTAGTTTATGAAAAGCGCTTAAACGCTCTTCACAGATCGCACACATCACATAGTTGCTACGTGAAGGAAGACAATAACAGAAAAATGTTTTTTATTAAAACATTTGCTATAACTATTTTAATTGCTGCCCTTGCTTATCACTCCGTCAGTAAAGTGAGTTCAGTTTTTCTATTTACTTAAATATCAACTCACACCTAAACTAATGTGGCGCGATATCTCCTAATTAGCCGACTGAAGGGCGTTCTTCGACTACCAATGAAACCGATGAAGAAGTTTTAAATGAAACTGCAAAAGTGCTGGAGAATTCTTTAAATAAATTGGCTGCCAGCGACGATGGCCCCCATTACAAGTAAATATATTTTCATCTTCATATTCAGAAGCGAGACAGAGTAAGATATCATTGAAAGGCGACAATTAAACTGAAAATGTTTTTTCAGGTTGACAAAAATGCTTGGAGCAGTCCGAGGATTAGGTTTGTTTGGTAATTTGTATGGCATGAAAGCTGATCTAGCTGATGAAAATGGCGAGAGTAAGACTTGCTCCATTGAAATTTGGTCACCAGGCGATAAGCCTGAGGTGCAAGTAACATTTGAATGCGAGGGTGAAGAAAAGTTGGTTAAAACACATGAGAAATAATGTAAACAATTTCTGTGGAAATAAAATATCGCAGTCACTGCCTCTGCTACCTAGTAGTGTAGTGATGTGTCGCATACCCGTGAACTCGTTTATATCGTTGATCAGCTTGCGATTCCAAGATACCTTGGCTTAGTTAAACTTACTTTACTTACGTAAGTTAATCTCCGTTTAGGGATATTTTTGATCCTAACAACTGCTTTATGTTTGACTTTTTTTTTCGCATACGTATTGCACAACCGCAATTAATTTGTGAAATACGTAAGGCCACGTAATAGGTAAAGCAGGGCTTGCAAGTTGTAGACATCAGTAGTAAGACGTTTACATCATTAATAGTAAGTGAATGCTATGTCGTTACCAATATAAGCAAAATTTTAATTTTGAGCACGAGTATACTCGTCGCGTGTAATATGAAATTAGGTTGCAATCAGCATAACATGCATACATACATTTTAAAATATCTTATTATTTGATGAGGAAATCCGACAAGGACAGATGGACGGAACAGGAATACAATATGTTGTACTTTCCTGATGACCAATAATACTCGTCGCACGTAGTGCATTGTGTAAGTGCACATTACTCGACTTACATCTTCTCGATAAATGCATTTTGCGTTTAATTAAAATATCCATTCAGGCCATCAATATCTGTTTATTTTTATTTTTCTATTTATTTTTCTTTATATTAAACAAAATCGCTGCATGCCGCATGTATATATCTTCTTTAAATCTCTTTTCAAAGCTCTTTTGAGCGATAAGTAGGAAACTAACCGCAGAAATGCAACAAGCACTTGGGTTTCGTGTTTTCCCTGCTAATGCATTCCATAAGAGTCCGTAAATGAATTTAATAACTGGCTCTCATTTTTAGAACCATTAACATTCATTTCATTTCGTTTTTGCTTTTCTTTTTTTTTCTTTTCACTTTCGATCGGTGATAATTATGTACGAGACATGCATTCGGAGGCACACGTACAAGGATTTGTTGTGTATGCACAAGTGTGCGAAATGCATGCATATCTTGCGATTTACGCAGAAAAAAAAAAAAGAAAAAATATAAAATATAAAATATAAATATAAATAAGAAAATTTCCCCCCATTATAAGTTGTAGAAAGTGAATTCGCTGTGGTTTGCGTTGTGTTATGCGGTTATTTGTAAATGTAAATGTAAATGTAATCGAATAAAACAAAAACTTGTTATCTCAGCCAAAAGCAGTTATCAATAGCAGTAGTTGGACTTTATTATTCGTAATATTCTGTAACAACGCGTCGCAGGGATTTTTAGAAACACCTTTGTACCATTGTTCTCACGGCAGGGCTTCACTTCTTCTCGCAAGACGAAATATAAACTATTAGTATATTTTTACATCATCCTCTTGCATGATGTCATAGATACCACTACCACCGACTGCGCTTGTATTCGCCTGCAGCAAAGAAAATCAATTTCATATAGTAATCGTTAAATCGACCCCAGCAACCGTGTTCTCGACAATAGCACAGAGCCGTCATAATTCACAATTTTTGCCTGTTCGCGATCCTGCCAACTTACTAGAGGATACGCCTCGAAAGGGTGTAAGTTCGCTATAGGCCATCTTCGCTTGTCACTTGTAGGTTATCACATAATATGCTGATGCGTAGAGAATATTAAGCTTCTGTAGCAATTCTCTACTCATTCTACCCAGCAAAATACGTAGAGAATGTGTAAAAAATGCGAAGAGAAAATATTTGGCGATGTCGCTTGCTAAGGACGCAGATTATCTTCTAAAAAAACTGCGTAGTGTGAAAATCGCAATTTACGTTTTCTTTACGGGTTTGACTTAATTGAACTAACTCTTAATCAAATTTTAAAGCCGGGAAACCTTATTGCTTTCCTTTTATTCCGTTTACGAGTTTTGCTAACGCCTTCACAATTCAATAAAATTTCAGTAGATGTCGCTATGTTGATACTATTTCCAATTAAAATTTCCGATTCCAATGGCTTGTACAAGGTAAGCACATGGAAGTTTGCATTCTTCGTCGAGTCGGAAAAGGCATTCATTTCGTTTGAGGCTTGAAACACTCTTCCTTCCACTCGAGAAAAAAACGAAAATTGTAGTCTACACTCTATGCCATTATGGGTAATACAGTCCCATATTGGAAAAAGAAAAAATTTCTATTTTTTACTAGAAGAGAGTGATTATTTTCAAGCCCACTTTTGTTTACCCATTCATTAGATCGAATTACATCCAGAAACTTGGACTGCAACCGAAAGCTTTCGCGCTCGCAGATCTAATAAATTTGGTTTCTAGAATAAATGCAAGCCTTACAAGATCCTTGCAATACAATAAATTAAATGACGAAGAAAAGACAGTGGTCGTCTTCCCCTCTATGCATTAGATCAAGTACAAATTTTAATGTTAATAAATTTAATTTATTTGAGCAATAATTCCTAAACCGCTTGCAATTGTTTTTACATTCTTTTAAAAACCTTCTTTTGTAACAAATATTTTTTACTTAAATAATTGTTCAACAATACCACCGCATTCAAGGGCTGTGACGTGAATGTTGTATCTTGATATGAAATTTATGCATCCATTTCTTTTTTTCTAAATTTTTATTTTTTAAAATTTATTTCAGATATCAGGACTTCGTCAAATATATGCTGTTGAAGAAGATATAGTGGTCGACAATTTCTCACGTAAGATCGTACAAACACTTAAGCCTAGTTTCCTAAAGTGGATTATGAGAAGTGGGATTGCTTTTATTAGGATGAATCGATGTACTTACCACGGATCCACAGAACCAATCTTACCGTTTAACGAAGAAACTTTGCAAATTGAATCTGTACTACTACTGTTATTTCAATGTTTTATATAGAAAATAGAAAAGAAATCTTTATTCATTTTGTTTTCTAATTTACGTTTTTATTTTACTAAAACATGTTTATTTATATTTGTATTTTGTAGCGAGATATAATCATAAAAGTAATAATTTACAAAGTAAGAATAAATAAAATACAAAGTAAAAATTAATAAATTTGTTTGGTAATTCGTTTGCAAGCAAGCAATGTAAGTATTACATGTAGACAAAAATCTACTAAACCAGAGTAGAAAAAGTTCTACACGCATATATCACAATGTCCAATGTGTACATTGTGTGTAAACAACATGTTTCCCTACATAATGTTGCCCTATAAATTTGATAGGCATATGCATGCTTTTGTGGAAAACGGCAACTTTAAAGCACTCTAGCGGCCGTATTACGCCCCTTA